GTTTTTTCGTAATTTTTTTTTTACTTTTTGAGTTTTGCTATGTACATATGAGTAATATACGTAAGTGGAATAGGAAAACTTGATTTTATGAAATCTCAATTCCAGTGATGCGTGTGGAACATTTTTTTATTTATCCCTCTCAAAGTTCAAATTTGCGTTTGGGTATGATATATTTATAAAGTTGTACGAATGTGTGTACGTATAAAAATATATATATTTTCTTACTTATTATATATTTTCTTTAATGTATTATTATTATACATTTTCAATGAATTGAAATTCGAAAAGTTAAAAATATTTTATTTTAAGTTTTTTGTTATATTATAAAGTAGAAAAATTAGAAATAAATTAGAATTTCTCATTGAATCGAAACCCAAGTTTTTCTTTCCATACGTATATTACATATGAAGCATTCTATGTCAAAGACCTTTGAAACCATCATTTTTATTTTTTTTTCTTTTAATTTGCTGACTTATCTATATAGAATCTATATAGAACTTATCTATATAGAAAATATAAGACACGTGTTTCGCGAAAAAAACTTGAGATTTTTTGTGAACTTGTTAACATGAAATGCCTCGTACATAGAAAAATCCGAAAAGTAAAAACAAATTACAAAAAAATTTTATTTAAATCCATTTTCGAAATCGATTATAGCGAACTTTAGCTCCAATCTTCTAATGGATTCCGAGCAAATGCCACTCTCTTTAGTTAATAGAAGATAGGATACTACAACTTCTGACCGTTACTTTTCAATAGTTGAACAACTGAGTTACAACTGGGTAACTTCTTTTGTTAGTTATTCATTCTGTACATAAACGAGAGCTAAAAGTTAAAATTCAAGTAATGGAATCCGAAAAATGCTTTGTATATATTCTATTGATGTCTTTACACTTTGTAAATTTTTTTATTCAAAGCAATATATCGACATGAGTAAAAATAATTCCTCAATACAAAAAAAGTTTTGAAGCAACTGAAAAATATATATATGTATCATACTGTATTACCACTTTTAAATAAAACGAAAATATTTTAATCAAAATTTAACAAAATAAAAATGGGCTGTGTTTTTTCATATAATGAGAAAAAATGATATCTTCTGCATTTGTTAATTTTTTTGTAATATTATGATTGCAATGATTCATAAAGTTAATCGCACTTCCGATAATTAATTACAATTTAGATAAATCTAAATAGTAATTAATCACGTGTCATCGTCATTTTACTGATATCAATTATCTATCTGTCTATATAATTATAATAAAGAAAAATAATTATAATAAAGAAATAATGAATTACATTAAAAAAAAAGTAAATTTGATTCAATCTTCGAAATAATAAATACATTAGTATTAAATATATTATTATTACGTAAGGCGCGCTGTAAAAGCTATGATTAAAATTAAATTAATAATACAAAAACAATACAATCTTTTTACATCTGGGATACAGGACGACCTCGGACGGTATGATCTTAAAATTTAAAGTAAAATAACGATGTTTAAAGAAAACCGGCTTTTGCTGTTTGTCACGTGTTTTACATTTTATCAACGTTCTTGTCTTGTTCCGAAACAATGACTAACTATCGCTTATCGTACAACTCATATTTATAGAAAAAGAATTTTAATTTGCGCAACGGTCTTACTTATTGTTACATAATTTCTAAATTTGCGTGAAGAGAAGGACAATATTGTTTCCTTACTTCAAAAGTGACACAACTCAAAAAATTTTCAAGTTATTATCATGAATGAGTTAAGTAGAGTAAAAATTACTCTGTCAATCAAAAGTAAACTTAACTAACTTAACAGCCCATCTGTTAATAATTTTTTGTGTCGTTTTCTTAAGCTTTTAAAGAAATCATAATACTTTCTACAAAAGTAACACATCTTGAGTTGCGTCATTTTTGTAAATAAAAAGGAGGATCTTCTATAAAAATTATATAGAGTTAAAACAGTTTTTGGTGATCGAAGTTTGAAGAAAAAGTTTATTATTTTGAATTTAGTCATTTTAGCTGATAAAACTAAATATAAACTTTTGATGATTTTTCGAATTATGTATGTCATTTTTTATGAATTATTGCGGATTTGTTATAATTTTGTAATATATCAATTTAAAAAAGGTAACTTTTTAAAAAAACGATTTTCGTAAAAATAAATATGACGATGTGAAAATAATAAAAATGACATTTAATCATGTTTCTATTCTTTTTATCGATATTATTTGATTTGTCAATAATTTTCTGTTGTATAAGTTGAAAAATAGTTTTTCCCTTTTTCTGAAAAGCTTAATTTTTTAAATTGTATCATTTTCGAAGTAAAAGACCGATATGATTTTTCATAGAAAATAGAGAAGAAAAAGTAAACATATACAGATGTATGTCGTTACTATTCTAAGCGATTCAAAAAATAGGTATCTCACAAAGTATCAATTTAGATACTATTTGTGACGTAACGCCACGAATTATTATTTACAATGGCACACACGCGTTACGCATTCGTTTCATTGAATTCGTAATGTCATTAATATAATGATCTCCCGATCGCTTTTATTTTACATTCAAGTAGTATATCAAACTCCGTTGCAATCTCAGCGCGAGCTTGACGCGCCTATTTGCACAGATATACCGATCACTAATTCGACCTTCGTTGAATTAATTCCAATCCTGCGTACATTCCCGTTGATGCGTGCGATTAATCGATCGCAGTTTAAATACAATATAAATGAGATATAGAATGATAAATGGTGGATCTATGGTCATCCCGTACTTAGAGATCGCATCTCTACGTGAATGAAAAGCCTAAGACACAATTGAAAAGCACAGTTAATAAAAATAAAACATTTCAATCAATCAGAAACCTCGTATTCCCGATGTAGTCGGTATATTTGATTTTTAATAGGTCTAATAAGTTTGTTATTTCTTGTTTCTTGCCTGGTTGCTTTTCAAATTATGCATTAAACTAAAGAATACCTTCGTGCAGCAATTCGTATGGCGAACGCGACTTTCAGATCATAATTTTTCTTATTATTGACATTACGATTGACGATTGACATTTACATTATTCGACTGACGTTTTTACATCAATATATTATTATATCTCACGGGCAAGAACTTAAGGGATGGAACTTGGCATATACGGCCACGTTGATTATCCGTCACAGCGTGGAATCGATATATAATATTTCTGTACCCAAAATAGCTGGACCAGCCAAACGATGCTGAGCGCGCAGCGCGCGAGGGGCTACTTCCCGAAGGAAAAATCTGTCGATCTTGCAATAGCGGTAGTTCCGCGTGCATTCTCAATGAGCTCGAGATATATATCTCATGCAACACACACAATGCCAAGTATAATCTATCAGTATACATCCCGGTAATCTTATCTCGAAATTAGCAGTAAAGAAATTTAACGCATCGCTATCATATCTGACTACAATGACAGCGTATTTGTGTAGAAATAAAAAAATATCTTTAATGACAATTTTAAAATTATAATTGCTTCTTTGCGTAATATAATTTTAACATTTACCAATTAAAAAGATAATTTACGTAAATTAAATCATTTGCCGAACGTATCATTATAGATAATGCAGATCTAATCAATCGTGTTTCCTCTTCATTTCTTTCTATGAAATACTGAAATT